TTTTATCCAAACTTTACATGATTGATCAGTACCAAGTCTAGTTGTGCACTGTCCGTCTGTCTGTCCGTCTGTCACAAAATTTGTCCCAACATGAAATTGGCCATTATGAGGCGACACATGTGATTACTGATCGCTCTTGTTTTATTAAAGGAAGAATGCTGAATGCTGGAAAGGATATAATAAATATCCTGAAATGCATTCACATGTAACAATTATAATCAAATCACATCACCTAATAATTTATATCATTCACTTTATTATACCGGGGTAATTATAGTAAATCTGTCTGTACTAGAAGTAGACTTTGAGGCCCGTCCATGGCCAAGTGGTGAATGTTTTTGACTTCAAACCAATTGCCTTTTAGGTGCGCTGGCATATTTGGATTCTTCATTTGAGGAAACAATCCAGCTCGGTGGTAATGTACTCAGGTGCCCGTTAATTGTGACTGAAATAATGTACAGTCTTCCTCGGTTTATCTAATGGCTTATTGGCACACTTGCTCAAATACGGGATTTTCGCATTTTTATTACTAATTATAGTAACATATCCAATAAAATCACTAAAATGTCTTGTCTACATGAGTTTTTATGTACACTATACATAGACAACCACAGTAAAAGTGACGTCATGAAAACCGTGACGTATTGTTTCAATGTCAATTAATACAACTTTCAATCAGTCATAATGATCAATTTATTTTTTATAAATATTACTTATTCTAGAAATTCAGAAAAAAACAGCAGAAGAAATAGAGAGGAGAAACTACATCTTTCTTAATTTTTTTTTTCTGTGGTTGCGCATGAAAGAGACGCTTACTTTGAATCAGTTATTTTTTTTTTCTATTATATTTTTTAATACATTTACTGTGGATAAACTATTTATGTTATCTGCTTAAACATACATTGAAATATCTATTTTCAAACAATTTATAAATATATTAAACAATTACGTTATTGCTTGATTTCCAGTCTGAAAAAATGCTGTGGAACATATGTCATTGTGCCTTTAGTCCATACTGGCACACTTGGTTCAAATTTGCCTTGGGCTAAAGCCATAAGAGCCCTCGGGCAAAATAAGTCACCAAGTGTGCTAATATGGACTAAAGGCACACTTGCCCCATGTAATAACCTCTACATATTATTATATAAACTCCTTCTATGATAATGCATGTAAATTAGTGGAAATGTATAAATGATTTAATAAGTTAGTAATGTTAACATTATGAAAAGGTCAAAGGCACACATGTGGGTTTTGTGGTCTATTTTTCAGATAGGCCACAATCACCGGCTGAGTAACTTGCGCATTATATTTTTGTCTTTTTGTTATATTCCGGTACGGAATATTTATTTATATATATCAGTAGGATATAACATATTACCCAACATATGCAACGGACCTCAATTATAGGCTGCACAATGTTAGTATATATACAGGACTATTATGTAACGAACAAAATAAATGCTTGAGTTTCTACATAAATTATTTTCCATCTATTTTCCTAAAAAATTGGGCTAAAAACTGTGTAAAATTATCAAATATGTTAAATTTAAACATTACTCATTTCCTTATTACAAATTATATTTTTATAGTTGTAATTATGTATGTTATTATTTTATTAAATATGATTAATATATTCCTGCAAAAGTTAATTGTGGAATCTATATTTAGCTTTTTTCTAGAGAATCACATTACAATATTATAAATAAAACCTATAAAAAAAGTGTATTTTTATAAGGCAATCGATATTATCAATAATGACATTGAAAGTAGTTCTAGGGTGCAATCTTTGATAATGCATAAATACTGTATAAATAGAGGATATTTGTTTGTTTTGCATAAAAGAAATTCAGCAGGTTAAGGGTTAATCAGTAACGATTCTTTTGGAAATTTTTTATATAACTTCTTTTGACAATTGGAAAATATTTAGGTCATTGCAGCTTTCCTGATTAGGCAGGCTGTATTCTGGAATTGTAAAAGAAAATCATAGATCAATGAAAATAATTCATTATGTTTGAATATATTAAAGACATGTATGTTTTGTAACCCAGCCAAAAAAATATATATTGATCATGATTAAAGCATTAAAGAAGAAAATTCAAGTCAAAGTTAAAATATTAGTAAGTAGGTTATTAAGATATGGTGTTACACTATAGCCTCTGCAAAGCGACCCTTTGTATAGCAAATACCTCTGTTCAACAACAATATTATTTCTTCTTAAAGTAAAGATTACACTATATTTTCCCTCTATACTATTATGCAACAACCAAAATAGTTGTGTCCGCAAGGGTGTTGCATTGCAGAGGTTACACTGTATTTTTATTAAACTAATTATATCCGTCTTAAAAAACGAAACAGAAATGTTCGGAAATATACGTGAAGATCCGGATTTAAGCGATCTTTGTAGGTCGGTCACGTGACTAATCAGTGCTCGGATAGTTGATGGCCACTGCGTTGCTATGTTTTTTTTGTGTGTAAACTTGTCCCCGGGCCACGTATTAGTACGTGTAACTATAGATGTCTTGAAAATCCCGTGCAATTTACAGTTAACTTGTTTAAAACATGTGTAATTTTAGGAAGTGAAGGACAAGCGACTGAAAGGTTTGTACGTTTTTTAGGTTTTGGAAATGTTTTAAATCATTGTGAAATAAATGAGGTATTAAATATTTCTTCTAAATTCCAGGAAACTGAGGAAATATTACATTTAACATTATGATACTAAAAATAATTTTTCACAGCAAAAAAAAAAACATTATGTAAAATGGTATATTGTGTATATTGTTGGATTGTGTTTACGAAAATAAATGCTTACTACACACAGCTACACACAGTGTATAAATAAGTCTACTTATAGCAAGAAAAAGATTCATAATCCCAAAAAGGTACAGTGATCGGATGTAACATCTCGTATAATTATTAATTAGCCGATCAGTAATCGCAAGACGGGGTACACATTTAATTCTATAGACTCGCAAGATCGCAAGACAGTATACTAAAATAATAATGGTTTCTTTCAGTATCGTGCATTGTACTTGATAATCTCAATTTTGATTGTTTCGGGTTATAATTGATCACATGATGTTCACGTTCCTGAATTACTGTTCTTAAAATCTTACATTTTTCTTGAGTTTTGATTTTCATATTTTGACTCATCTGGAGGCATACATCGATTTGTATACCACATATACATGTACCAATATGGGTGATATGTTAGTTGGAGTAGGAAATATTCGTTCGTTTCTTCATTCATTGATGAATTAATTCATTCGCTCATTCATCATTCATTCAATCAATCAATCAATCATTCAACCAAACAATCAATCAATCATTCAATCAATCATTCAATCATTCATTCATTCATTCATTCATTCAATCATTCATTCATTCAATCATTCATTAATTCAATCAATCATTCAATCAATCATTCATTCATTCATTCATTCATTCAGTTTGTTTTATAACCCAGGACGGGACTGTGTGAATGACTAGATACAGGCCACACCAGAGACCATGGGTCTATATACTGCATTCCACAGCGATGGTGCTTTATGATGATGATGATGGAGTTGTTGTTGTTGTTGCTGCTGCCGCCATAAAGAAATGATGATAGTTATGATGTTGGTGATCATGTTAGTGGTATTTTTGCTGATAAAAGGTAAAATTAATGTTTTATAAAAGGAAATTATACTGCATTATATATTGACAGTAGCCTTGCAAATATAGTTCTTTAGCACTATTTTAGCTTAGAATTTTTGTCAACATTGGTCATTGTTGATCGTTGTCCTTAACAGACGAGCGTTAGCACCGCATGTGGTTATCTTGTTTTCATTACTTTGTTAATAGGCTGACGAAAAAAATCCATTAGGGATAAAATGAATATTTTTTCCAGGATACCAAGAAAGCCTTTGCTAAAAGAAACATTTTTTTTTTCAAAAAAAAAAAAAACAAACAAAAAAACACTAGTACGTATTTGCGTTGAAACACTATTATTTTGTTGTTTGTTTACCTATTAATGTCAAACTCTACTTTGGAGACCAGGCAAATTTTTTTCGCTTTCAGTCATGCCGTGCCTCCCTTCCAGCATGGGGGATTTTCATCAGTTTCTTAGATTTTGGAAAAAGATAGAGAATTTCACCCTCAGTGTGATTTTAAACCCACCCACCTTTGGGTTAGGAGTGCAATGTTGTACCATCCATTCTGCACCCATTACTGTTTAAGCCATTTCAGTTTGGTAAAAAATGGCTTTAACAAATAATTTCTATATCCTTCTGTCCATAATTGCAGACATAATGAAAATTGTGTACAGAATTTGAACAAGAAAACATATTAATTTCTTGAATCATTCATTTTGATTTTGGTGCTGTGTGGTTGTTACGGGGAATACAATTGGTTCCTTGGATTGTGGTACGTAAGTTTTGATAGGTTTTGTTTTTTGGTCTTCATGATAACTTTGTTCTGTTGTTGATCTTGATTATCTTTTATTGTTTTCGTCGTTTTTCTGCGTGTTATTTTACGTTGTTTGTTTTCTTTGGGAATTCATTTTTTTATGGAGGGGGTATTATTATATCCAGTTGTTTGGCGTGGTTTCTTCTTAAATTTGTGTTTTAAAACAGTTATAGATGTATGGTGTAAAATTATGTTGTCAGATTTATGCAAAAGGTCATGGTCATTGCCTTGTGCACCATAGTACATAAACTTTTATTTAGTTTTAGGTCTTCAGTGTACCCGTTTATATACTATATGCTAGTTTGTATATTTGCGATATAAATACTATATGCTAGTTTGTATATTTGCGACAAATTATATGTTGTATAGTTCTACTCATCTATGACAAAATTTCATTATATAATCATCTTAGATATCATTATATAAATTGGAATGTTTCAGAAGAAGAATGTATCGTGGAGTGAATGCGGCTAGAGCCTGTTCATAATAACTTTGCTGAATGTAAAGTTTGCAGTTGAAATCCGATGGTAGCTACAGTCAACCCTGTGAACAAAGAACATCCAAGGGAAAGACTGAACATGGCCTTAATAGACAAGTGGTCTTTATTTGGAGGTTATTCTGTTCTGTTTCATTGAAGGGTTGGTCAAGAGTGGCCCATTTACAGGGTGATCTTTATTCAGAGGTGATCTTTAATACAGATTTCACTGTATTGTGTCATTGCCGATTTTGGTCGTCACGAATGAAGTTATATTTTAAAATGATATGTGCAGATGTTTATAAATTATATGCTTCTCGAAATCAAGCACATTTTACTCACTACGGCATAAATTAAAGAAGATGTTTTCAATAATTTAAGATTTTTTTCTTTCTTTTTATCCACTTTCAGATCTAAAAATCTACAGTAGATTCTATTCTGGACAAGTAGCTAAGTAGTGCTAGATCTACTGTGAAAAATATTTTAAAGTTATCTTATAAAAAACAATTCCACTGTCTAATGAAAAGCATGTAATAATAATATTTAAATACTTTTTTTCATATAATTATGTTGATGAAACATTTATTTTAGCATGGTTTAAACGACTGTGCAGCTAGAAATGCAGCTAGAAATGCGTTATTGACTCAAACTCGTACCATGTCAGGCGATGTCCAGTTGACCAGAGAAATATGGAGTGGGCACTTCATATGAAGGTAATGGCACAAAAATCATCATACTCTTTACCCGTTTAAATCTGCTGCCAGTAAAGGACAAAGCACTTATATAATTTATATTCTATTAAAATTGATGTGACATTTTATTTATTTTATTTTTTTAATAATGAGGACCAAATTTGATAGTGTAAAAGGCGCGCTGTATCTTTATGGATTTAAAAGCAATTACATCAAGTTTAATACAAACTTTGTTCTGGTTTCGCTAAAGGAAATGAAATGGAATATTTCATAGTAGTTTTCTTTTATAATTAATAAAAATATGAACTATAGATGAGCTAAAAGAATCTAAGTTGTTAAGTTTCCTTTTTACGAAAATGAAAAGGACAGCAGGAAATAGCTTATTTCCCCACAGGTCGCCAATGGTGTGTTTCCCTTGAGGAGACAGAAAAGAAATGAGCCGCGTCATGACAAAACCAACGTAATGCGTTTGCGACCAGCTTTCATGCAGTCTGATCAGGATCCATGTTGTTCGCTTACAAACCCAATTACATATAGAAACTGATAGCGAACAGCATGGATCCTGATCAGACTGCGCGGAGGGGCAGGCTGGTTTGGATCCATGCTGGTCGCAAATCCACATTGTTGGTTTTGTCATGGCGCGGCTCAAGTAATATTTCTGCTAGGACATTTGCACAGATTACCTCCCCTGAAAATCACTAGTAACTACTTGTTCACCGCGAAATGGAAATATGAATTAGATCAGATCAAATTAAGGTAAGCTATCTATTAATATGTAAGTGAGCTTCACTGAATGATTTTTTTTGAAATTAAATACGATGAAAATTCTCAAGTGATTTTTACTGCACAACATGATTTGACATAATTATCTTAATTATGATAAGTTGCAAGTTTAAACTTAACTTTGATGTTCTGACGACAATATTTGGTATAGTGTTTTATATAATTTACGCTAAATCTTTTGTAACTAATGTAATAATGACACCTTTTATAAATATTTCAATATTTTTTATATAGATTTTAATGTTTTCTTGAATCACATAATTATAAGATAAATTATGTTATAGAGCACTCTGTATCGAGGTGTTTAAGTTCAATGCAACTTTTTCTTTATTTCATTAAACGAAAAAAAAAAATGCAATGCTTTTAAGATAAATATGATTGAGTAAACAAAATATATGCATTTAGTATGTTTGAATAAAGAATTAGATACATTTATTATGATTGAATGAACAGATTATGTGCATTTATCATGATTGAATATGCATTTATTATTATTCAATAAACGGAGTGTATGCAATTCGTTTTTGAAATTATATGTTTCGACCAATAGGAGTGCAGTATTTCAAATGAATTGTAACAGAATTATATGTGTGTAATTTGGTTAATCGACTTCAGCTTATTAGTTAAGTCTAAAATGATTTCATATACATGTACATGTATTTCGAAAACGGAAATAGGAGCCATTTGAAGATGTATTTCACAGGTAGTAGGTGGCCAGTGGTGTGGTTTGATTGCGGAAGAAATGGAAAAGAAACTAATTTCCGTTGTGGTTACTGCTGGAGTGTGGCCCAAGAAATCTTCCTCTGACGTTCCATTCTGGAAAGTGAATTAGAGCAGAGCCATTTCACATTTAAAGTAAGCTATTTAAGTAAAATAAATCTGCACTCATTGGCATTTTTAGTATAAAAATAAATTATTAAAAAATAAAATATAAAAGATCTTTTTTAACATCAACAACCAACAGCAAGAAAAAGAAATTGAAAAAAATGTAGATTGTTTTATTGATTCCAGGAAGAACAGATAGCCAGAAAATGATTTGAATAAATCCAGTCTTTGAAGTAATGGAAGGAGCATCGGAACACGACACTATCTGATTTGCAGAAGTCGAGCATATCAATAATTATGATATAATTAATTTAATAGGCTATTGCAAAGAGATATTAACGAAGGGAGAGGACCTATACATGCAGTGGTTAAGTTGTCGGTCTCTCAAAAGAAGGTATAATGGGAAGGAATTCTACTTGGTCAGTTACCATGTTTTCTTCATATGACACCAGTACTGGTTAGTTCCAGGAAGCAGACCTGAGACTGGTTTAAACATGCTTCAAGCTTTTATCATAGTCAATCTTGACTAAATATGATTTTATTGAACTTATGCAACATTTTAAATTTGACTTGATTGACAACTGAATGAGAAACATTACGAGTAGGAATGTTTATATTTAAGTCCACAGTCCAATTATGTTCTGACATAAATCTTTTTTCTTTATTTTCTTTTTTTTGTCTTTAAAAGAATTGTCTCTATAGATGGAAGAGTAAACATAGGTTGATTCTCAGTATCATTAATTTTCAATCTTGAAACAGTTAATTAATAATTATCTACTACACAAACTTTTCTATCTCCAACGTTTCGAGGGGTTAAACCCCTCTTTTTCAAGGAGTTTCAGAAACTCCTTGAAAAAGAGGGGTTTAACCCCTCGAGACGTTGGAGATAGAAAAGTTTGTGTAGTAGATAATTATCAGTATAACTGGAAATCTGTAAGAATGATGATCCCTCGGAAGCATTACTCACAAGAAAATTACATAAAATTGCAGACTCGGTTTGATTGAGTCTAACTGTTCTGCTCATCAACATTTAGATTTCTGATTGCAGTAAAATATTTTTTTTTTTACAAGAACTTTAAGGATTCAAATATATATTTTATTTATTACCACCGTAATATGTGGTAACTTCTAGCATCCCTTTAATATCTTACTGTAATTCACTTATTTCAAAAGGAATTTACTGCAAAAATCCTTATTATCACGTATATCACGTTATAAGAGTCACAATTTTAGCACCCATATCTTTAGAATAATCTCCCCTTTAAACTTAGATTTTTTTTCTTCAAAATAAAAATATTCTGCTCTAAAACATTACTTCAAACTTTAAATATATAGTTATATTCATTACCTGTATCAAATGTGATAAAGTGCATCACTCTAACAATCATATTTTCAAAATTATATCCCCTTTAAATTTTACTAAGAATTATCATTATTATTATTATAATTATTATTATTATTATTATCATTATTATTATTATTATTATTATTATTATTATTATCATTATCATTATTATTATTATTATTATTATTATTATTATTATTATTATTATTATCATTATTATTATTATTATCATCATCATTATTATTATCATTATATCATTATTATTATCATTATTATCATTATCATTATTATTATTATTATCATTATTATTATTATTATTATTATTATTGTTATTGTTTTACTCAAACTGTTGTTTCACAGGTGTGGTTCTTTAGCAGAGAAGAGGAGACTAAATGTGTGATCTTCTCTGGTTGCCTCCCCTGAAGTTCTTTACAACTCTGTGTTATTGTGGAAAGAAGACTGGTGCAGATTTTTTGTCATTCAAGGTAAGCGATTAGTATAAAAGAAAGCTGCACTCGTTGATTTTTTTAATTAAAAAAAACTATGTTAAAAACTATAAAAAAAATTAAATATGTAATAGGCTATTTAAAAGCAATATTTCAAAAGTAACAATGTTTGAAATACATTAAAGTAAACATATAATGTAACAATAGCATGCTCGGTCATGAAATATTTCTTTTTATTATTATCTATTCGCAGAATAATCGAGCTAATGCAGTATCTCCATAACTACTGAAGGGAATGGATTGAAACTTCACACACTTGTTCTCTGTGATTATCTAACATGATTGGCACAAGTTCCATAACTCTGATTTGCTTTTTTGCATAATTATGCCCCTTTTTCGACTTAGAAATTCTTGGTTAAGCTTTTGCTTGTAAGCTGGTATGTCCATAACTACTTAAAGGAATGGATTGAAACTTCACACACTTGTTCTCTGTGATTATCTTACATGATTGGCACAAGTCGCATAACTGATTGCATTTTTGCATAATTATGCCCCTTTTTCGACTTAGAAATTCTTGGATATTTTTTTTTGCGTGTAAGCTGGTATCTCCATAACTACTTTACCTTTGTTATTTTTTATCCCCCGGATATAGTAATAGTCTCCGTCCGTCCGTCTGTCCGTCCGTCCGTGCGACCTTCCGTCCGACATTTTTGTCCGGATCATATCTCTAAAAGTATTTGAGTTATCAACTTGAAGCTTCATAGGCGGATAGACCTCACTCAGGAGGTGTGCAGTGCACAAGAATGATAACTCTACCTTTCATAATTTTTGAGTTATTGCCCTTTGTTATTTTTCATACTTAATTTTTCACCTGAGTGGAGCATAACTCAAAAAGTGTTTGAGATATCAACATGAAATGTCATAAGTGAATAGATCTTATTGAGGAGGAATGCTGTGCACAAGAATGATAACTCTTCCCTATACATTTTTTTAGTTATTGCCCTTTGTTCTTTTTCATGCTATTTTGTCCGGAGCTTATCTCAAAAAGTATTTGAGGTATCAACTTGAAACTTCATAGGTGGATGGATCTCATTGAGGAGTAGTGCAGTGCACAAGAATGATAACTCTACCCTGCATAATTTTTGAGTTATTGCCCTTTGTCATTTTTCAAAATTAATTTTTGTCCAGAGCATAACTCAAAAAGCCTATGAGATATCAACATGAAACTTCATAGGTGCATAGATCTCACACAGCAGGTGTGCAGTGCACAAGAATGATAACTCTACCTTTTATAATTTTTTAGTTATTGCCCTTTGTTATTTTTCATACTTAATTTTTCAATTCAATTTTTTTCTCAAAAAGTATTTGAGGTATCAACTTGAAACTTCATAGGTGGATAGATTTTACTGAGGAGGGGTGCAGCACTCAAGAATGATAACCTACCCAGCATTATTTTTCAGTTATTGCCCTTTGTTATTTTCAGCCATCAGTATTCACATAGGTTTCAAATCTGTAATCACTATAGCCATCAGTTTTCATTACCAAAAGACCTCTTAAAATGGAATTATTCTGCTCTACTACATATACATTCTTTCAATGAGCAAACACATTCGGCGGGGGATGGCCATGTTGACATGGCTCTTGTTAAAATTAATTTTTGTCTAGAGCATAACTCAAAAAGCCTTTGAGATATCAACATGAAACTTAATAGGTGCATAGATCTCACTCAGGAAGTGTGCAATGCACAAGAATGATAACTCTGCCTTTCATAATATTTGAGTTATTGCTTTTTGTTATTTTTCATACTTAATTTTTCACCTGAGTGGAGCATAACTCAAAAAGTGTTTGAGATGTCAACATGAAATGTCATAGGTGGATATATCTTATTGAGAAGGAATGCTGTGCGCAAGAATGATAACTCTTCCCTATACAATTTTTGAGTTATTGCCCTTTGTTCTTCTTCATACTATTTTGTCCGGAGCTTATTTCAAAAAGAATTTTAGGTATCAACTTGAAACTTCATAGTTGGATGGATCTCATTAAGGAGTGCAGTGCACAAGAATGATACTAGTAACTACCCTGCATAATTTTTGTATTATTGCCCTGTGTTATTTTCTAAAATTAATTTTTGTCCAAAACATAACTCAAAAGGCCTTTAAGTTTTCAACATGAAACTTCATAGGTGCATAGATCTCACTTAGGAGGTGTGCAGTACACAAGAATGATAACTACCTTTCATAATTTTTGAGTTATTGCCCTTTGTTATTTTTCATACTTAATTTTTCATAACTCAAAAGTGTTTAAGATGTCAACATGAAATGTCATAGGTGGATAGATCTTGAGGAATGCTGTGCATAAGAATGATAACTCTTCCCAATGTAATTTTTGAGTTCTTGCCCTTTGTTCCTTTTCATACTATTTTGTCGGGAGCTTATCTCAAAAAGTATTTGAGATATCAACTTGAAACTTCATAGGTGGACAGATTTTACTGAGGAGGGGTGCAGCAAACAAGACTGATAACCTACCCTGCATTATTTTTCAGTTATTATCCCCCGCCGAAAAGGCGGCGGGGGATATAGAAATAGTCTCCTTCCGTCCGTCAGTCCGGGCGCACGAATGGACACTTGTTGGGTACCTTGAACACACGAATGGACACTTGTTGGGTAATTCTATTCATTCCGTCAGTATTGTTGGGTACTTTTGTTGTCTTATTGGGTACTTTTAAACAAAAGAAGTACCCAATAAATGCCCATTCGTAGGAACGTCCGACCTTCCGTCCGTCCTTCCGTCCGACATTTTTGTCCGGAGCATATCTCTAAAAGTATTTGAGTTATCAACTTGAAACTTCATAGGTGGATAGATCTTATTGAGGAGGAGTGCAGTGCACAAGAATAATAACTCTACCCTGCATAATTTTTGAGTTATTGCCCTTTGTTATTTTTCAAAATTGATTTTTGTCCAGAGCATAACTCCAAAAGCCTATGAGATATCAACATGAAACTTCATAGGTGCATAGATCTCACTCAGGAGGTGTGCAATGCACAAGAATGATAACTCTACCTTTCATAATTTATGAGTTATTGCCCTTTGTTATTTTTCTTACTTAATTTTTCACCTGAGTGAAGCATAACTCAAAAAGTGTTCGAGATATCAACATGAAATGTCATAGGTGGATAGATCTTATTGAGGAGGAATGTTGTGCGCAAGAATGATAACTCTTCCCTATACAATTTTTGAGTTATTGCCCTTTGTTCTTTTTCATGCTATTTTGTCCAGAGCTTATCTCAAAAAGTATTTGAGGTATCAACTTGAAACTTCATAGGTGGATGGATCTCATTGAGGAGGAGTGCAGAACACAAGAATGATAACTCTACCCTGCATAATTTTTGAGTTATTGCCCTTTGTTATTTTTCAAAATTAATTTTTGTCCAGAGCATAACTCTAAAAGCCTTTGAGATATCAAAATGAAACTTCATAGGTGCATAGATCTCACTCAGGAGGTGTGCAGTGCACAAGAATGATAACTCTACCTTTCATAATTTTTGAGTTATTGCCCTTTGTTATTTTTCATACCTAATTTTTTCCCCGAGCGGAGCATAACTCAAAAGTGTTTGAGATGTCTACATGAAATGTCATAGGTGGATAGATTTTATTGAGGAGGAATGCTGTGCACAAGAATGATAACTCTTCCCTGTACAATTTTTGAGTTATTGCCCTTTGTTCTTTTTCATACTATTTTGTCCAGAGTTTATCTCAAAAAGTATTTGAGGTATCAACTTGAAACTTCATAGGTGGATGGATCTCATTGAGAAGGAGTGCAGTGCACAAGAATGATAACTCTATTCTGCATAATTTTTGAGTTATTGCCCTTTGTTATTTTTCAAAATTGATTTTTGTCCAGAGCATAACTCCAAAAGCCTATGAGATATCAACATGAAACTTCATAGGTGCATAGATCTCACTCAGGAGGTGTGCAATGCACAAGAATGATAACTCTACCTTTCATAATTTTTGAGTTATTGCCCTTTGTTATTTTTCTTACTTAATTTTTCACCTGAGTGAAGCATGACTCAAAAAGTGTTTGAGATATCAACATGAAATGTCATAGGTGGATAGATCTTATTGAGGAGGAATGTTGTGCGCAAGAATGATAACTCTTCCCTGTACAATTTTTGAGTTATTGCCATTTGTTCTTTTTCATACTATTTTGTCCAGAGTTTATCTCAAAAAGTATTTGAGGTATCAACTTGAAACTTCATAGGTGGATGGATCTCATTGAGAAGGAGTGCAGTGCACAAGAATGATAACTCTATTCTGCATAATTTTTGAGTTATTGCCCTTTTTTTATTTTTCAAAATTAATTTTTGTCCAGCGCATAACTCAAAAGGCCTTTGAGATATCATTATGAAACTTCATAGGTGCATAGATCTAATTCAGGAGCTGTGCAGTGCACAAGAATGATAACTCTACCTTTTATAATTTTTGAGTTATTGCCCTTTGTTATATTCAGCCATCAGTATTTACATAGGTTTCAAATCTGTAATCACTATAGCCATCAGTTTTCGTTACCAAAAGACCTCTTAAAATGCAATTATTCTGCTCTACTACATATACATTCTTCCAATGAGCAAACACATTCGGCGGGGGATGGCCATGTTGACATGGCTCTTGTTGCCCTTTGTTATTTTCAGCCATCAGTATTCACATAGGATTCAAATCTGTAATCACTTCAGCCATCAGTTTTCATTACCAAAAGACCTCTTAAAATTAATTATTCTGCTCTACTACATATATATTCTTCCAATGAGCAAACACATTATGCGGGGGATGGCCTGGGCATGTTGACATGGCTCTTGTTATTATTATTATTATCATTAATTATCATCATTATTATTATTATATTTAATATAATTATTATTATTATCTTTTTATCATAATATTATAATTATTATTATAACTATTATTAATATTACAAAAACAATGTATTTTAATTATCATTATTATTATTTTAATCATTATTATTATTATCATTATAAAAAATAATTAATATTATTATTATCTTTGTTATCATTAATTATCATCATAATTATTATAATTATTATTATCATCATCATTATCATTAATTATCATCATGATTATTATTCTTGTCCTTCTGTCTTATGTATTTGTTAGACTTGTGCTCTCCAGTTTTATTAAAACAGCAAGTTGCTCTTGTGAAATAATGAAATGAAGGTCACTAAGTGTGATTAATATACACATAGGGGTTTATGAGTTATGGCCCTTTGTTACTTTAAAAAGGGTGGATTTTACAGAAAAATGACAAAATTTTGAGCCATACTTGATACATACATTGATGATGCTATTTTAAAATTCTGAAGGAATCTTTTCTTTACTTTATTATAGGAATGTTCCAGAATATGGAAACATTTATATAGAACAACTGCGATTAAAGAAGAGTAACACTGGTACAGAATGCGGACAATGTGAAAACATCATCTAAAGATGTCAACATCCTATTAAAATCATTCGCAATTCTTCTGACAATTTCATAATTTAATCTTTACTGTCTTCAGTACATGATGTTTTTAAGACTTTTAGTTATATAATTGCGTGTAATAACCATTTTCATAGTTCCATGGCAACCAGTGCCTACCATTGCATTGTTTTGCTCCCAGAAATACCAGTTTATCAAAAGTTTTGGCAATTTTATCCTGCTCTGTTTAAATTGTTGTGACACATTATTTTAGTTTATATATACATGTTATAATTCACAATATACAGAGAGCAATTCAAATATTCTTAAAAAACAGGTTTAGAATGAAAGACATGTCTTATGAAATTCTTCTCCTAACACATTATTTTGTAAACATTGATCATATATATTAGTCGCAGGATTTTCACATACTGTGCAATACAAAAAAAGCCATATATGCATTCTTCAATTGGATCATGTGACTAAATTATAAGTTGCGCTGAAAGAATTTCCACATTTTTCTTATCAACCGAGAAATGCTTTCCAGTTTTATTTCACCTTTTTTTTTAATCCAGAAATTTCATGAAATAAGTATCTATCTGAAATAATCATTTGTGAAATATGGGTGAAATTTTGCAAAGTTTATATTTTTTCAAAATTAACAACAACCTTGTGTGAAGCTTTGAAGATAAAAGTTTGGCTAACTTTGGGTCTTTAATAAATCTCTGTATATAAAGATAAAAATATAACAAAACTATATTTTCAATTTATTTTTTACATTTTATATAAAATTTATTTATTAGAAAGATTTTTGAAAACATGTACTTTTAATCTTTTCATTTTTGCTGTTTGTTCTTTTAGAGAAATTTCAATTTAAGAGTCATTTCTAATATTTAAGTTCTAGCCTATATAAAAGTCATTTTACCTACTGTTCTCACTGCATTTTCAACTGTTTTATAACCTATAATATATTTGCAGCACTAACATTTACTGTTGGGTAAAATGAACTTTTATATAAGGGAATTGAAATTGAAAAAACAAATATAAACAAATAAAGCTAATTAAAACAGACAAGTTTTTAAACTTTGGCTGAAAAAAAAATATTTAGAAGCAGAAAATGAAACAAAACAAACAAAAAATTTAATGAAAAAAAGTTAAAAAAATGAAAGTGAGAAATTCAGAAAATAAGTAGAAATGAAAGATAAGTTTAAAGTTTGCTTTTACTATGAATTATATCAATCCAAAAATCATGTGAAAATGAGTAATATAAAAATATAATCTTAAAGCTACAGACACACACAAGGTAGTTATGTCAAAAATTAAAAAACTTTTTAAATATTCCCCAGTATTTCAAAAATTATTATTATGGGTAATTACATTTTAAAGGCAAATAATGATGCCTCAGAAATACATATTTTTTAATTGTTTAGAAATGTGGTTTGTAATGTTTTAATAATGGATTTAGAGCATGTTAGATATTTTACAACTGAAGAAAGTAAACATGAAGTAATGCGACATTATTTTTATATAGTAAACAAAATATTTATTTACTACAATTATACCAATTGCCAACACAAGGTAATTCATATACATGTATGTGGCAAATAAATATTTCTTTTGAAACTGTAACAAAATGCAAAAATTAATGCAAGTTGTTGAGAAATAAATGATGGGATTTCTGAGGCATAATGGGCAATTAAAACATGATTTTTCAATAAAATGATAGTATATATTAGGTATAATGGGCCTTTAATAACATTTTAAAAAAGGACCCCAAAAACATTGTTTTTTTGTTATGAAAGTGAAATAAACTTGCCCATTACTATTAGGGTGTCTGATCTTTTTCAAGAAATGAAATCCTTCCAGTTCATAATTTAAGGTCAATGCTCCAAATAAAAATACATTACTTGTACTAGAAAGAGCATCAAAACACAAGGTTATCTGATTTGTACAAGGGGGCATTTATAATAAGTGTTAGTTATTCCAAGTTATAATGGTCTTTTAGTATAAATACTGCAGCTTAATATTGAAAATATAAACTGAAACATTTTAATAGTATTTAAATAATGGTAGGATGAAAATGCCAAAACTTTTATAAGCGAGTATTTCTGAGATAAAACAGATAACCAAGATGAAATGAAAAAAAATCAATGTTGGCTAATTTTGATTTATTTTTCTTTATAAACATTTAACTGATTTTTTATCTTAATTATTATGAACATTTCTCTGAAAACAATTCTCATTACTTTTTGGAGTTCTCAAACTGATTAATATCAATGTAAGTACAAACATATAAAGTTTACATTTTTGTTGAAATTTAGTATTTGATTAATACAAAGACCAGTATTTGTGTCATATGGTAGACTTAAATATTTTGTTATTTTAAATAAAAGTTACTTAACTTGGTTATGAATTTTGTCATTAATGCCTATTCTAATTTTGAAAGAATAAAGAATCCTAAAAGTTTTTCTTCTATTTTTAAGAATTTACCATGCAATTTGCAAAAATGTGCAATGTTATCAGTTCAACAGTATACTCCCTTTGAGCCCTTAAACCATTTACAATGTTATCAGGGGAGGCCTCTTTTACCAAATATTTTGAGCCCCTTTCATCCCTTAGCCATTTGCAATGTTATCAGGGGAGGCCACTCTTGCCGACTATATCCTGGGACCCAACAGTTACCTCCCTTTGAACCCCTTAAGCCATTTGCAATGTTATCAGGGGAGGCCACTCTTGCCGACTATATCCTGGGACCCAACAGTTACCTCCCTTTGAACCCCTTACGCCATTTGCAATGTTATCAGGGGAGGCCACTCTTGCCGACTATATCCTGGGACCCAACAGTTACCTCCCTTTGAACCCCTTACGCCATTTGCAATGTTATCAGGGGAGGCCACTCTTGCCGACTATATCCTGGGACCCAACAGTTACCTCCCTTTGAACCCCTTACGCCATTTGCAATGTTATCAGGGGAGGCCACTCTTTGCCGACTATATCCTGGGACCCAACAGTTACCTCCCTTTGAACCCCTTTCGCCATTTGCAATGTTATCAGGGGAGGCCACTCTTGCCGACTATATCCTGGGACCCAACAGTTACCTCCCTTTGAACCCCTTTCGCCATTTGCAATGTTATCAGGGGAGGCCACTCTTGCCGACTATATCCTGGGACCCAACAGTTACCTCCCTTTGAACCCCTTTCGCCATTTGCAATGTTATCAGGGGAGGCCACTCTTGCCGACTATATCCTGGGACCCAACAGTTACCTCCCTTTGAACCCCTTACGCCATTTGCAATGTTATCAGGGGAGGCCACTCTTGCCGACTATATCCTGGGACCCAACAGTTACCTCCCTTTGAACCCCTTACGCCATTTGCAATGTTATCAGGGGAGGCCACTCTTGCCGACTATATCCTGGGACCCAACAGTTACCTCCCTTTGAACCCCTTACGCCATTTGCAATGTTATCAGGGGAGGCCACTCTTGCCGACTATATCCTGGGACCCAACAGTTACCTCCCTTTGAACCCCTTACGCCATTTGCAATGTTATCAGGGGAGGCCACTCTTGCCGACTATATCCTGGGACCCAACAGTTACCTCCCTTTGAACCCCTTACGCCATTTGCAATGTTATCAGGGGAGGCCACTCTTGCCGACTATATCCTGGGACCCAACAGTTACCTCCCTTTGAACCCCTTACGCCATTTGCAATGTTATCAGGGGAGGCCACTCTTGCCGTCTATATCCTGGGACCCAACAGTTACCTCCCTTTGAACCCCTTACGCCATTTGCAATGTTATCAGGGGAGGCCACTCTTGCCGACTATATCCTGGGACCCAACAGTTACCTCCCTTTGAACCCCTTACGCCATTTGCAATGTTATCAGGGGAGGCCACTCTTGCCGACTATATCCTGGGACCCAACAGTTACCTCCCTTTGAACCCCTTACGCCATTTGCAATGTTATCAGGGGAGGCCACTCTTGCCGACTATATCCGGGACCCAACAGTTACCTCCCTTTGAACCCCTTACGCCATTTGCAATGTTATCAGGGGAGGCCACTCTTGCCGACTATATCCTGGGACCCAACAGTTACCTCCCTTTGAACCCCTTACGCCATTTGCAATGTTATCAGGGGAGGCCACTCTTGCCGACTATATCCTGGGACCCAACAGTTACCTCCCTTTGAACCCCTTTCGCCATTTGCAATGTTATCAGGGGAGGCCACTCTTGCCGACTATATCCTGGGACCCAACAGTTACCTCCCTTTGAACCCCTTTCGCCATTTGCAATGTTATCAGGGGAGGCCACTCTTAGCGACTGTATTCTGGGACCCAACAGTTACCTCCCTTGGATCCCCTTACGCCATTTGCAATGTTATCAGGGGAGGCCACTCTTAGCGACTGTATTTTGGGACCCAACAGTTACCTCCCTTGGAATCCGTTACACCCAATTAATTGGACTTAATTTTGAGTGCAACAGTAACTTCCCTTTGAGATGTTATGCCCTTCGAATCATCAGTTGCCTCTTACTGCAAACCACTTTTCAAGTGAAGAACAACACAATATTATCATTAAAGTTTATCTTAAAAACACAAACATATCACAAAACAAAATGGCAATGATGTTAGTACAGTATAACAGGATATTTACTATTAGCATTGTAAAACATTACTCAATAAGCAAACAAGAATTTTATCAAAAAAATATATCACAAAATGCTTTTGTTTTTTTCTAGAGCTGCACAGTTCTGTAAAAAAAAATTCTCTAAAACAATCATATAATTAATAACAGTGCAACCTCTGTAGAGTGACCCATTGTACAGCAACAATTCTTCCCAAAAGTAAAACTTTATTCTAAAATCAACCTCCCTGGGGCAGTATTTCTTAGCAGCAACCAAAACAACAACTTTGTCTCCCAAATGGTGATCACTCTACACAGGTTGTACTATACTTTTTCACACCTATCCACTGTCTCCATTTTGCATACTTGCTTTTTTTCTTTGCAAAATATAATTAAAATCTTCAAATATCATTCAATATTGTCTCCGCTTTACAAATTTGCTTTTTTTTCTCTTCCAAATCTTCAATTATCATTACCATACACCCTGTTACTTTTACTTAGATCTCTTTCTTACTTATCATTCACAAAAAAGTATTAATCTATAGGCATGCAGCTTAAAAAATATTAAATTTTTTTTTTTTTTTTTACCTCTGACCACACTAAATATCTGAAATGGACTCATCCATCATTCAATCTGGACCAAACCATTCCATCATTTTTAGGGAAAATTCAAAATTATTACTGACAGAATAGAGAAACAGATCTTGGTCTGCACTGGTTGCATGGCCACCAGTAGGCTTGGGATTAATATGATAGTAGAAATTTAATTTAAAGGTACTCTTCCATACTTTTGAATTTGAATTGATTTCCTTCGAAATATTATCAAAAATACATTTTAATTGTCCTTTTCCTTTTTAAATTTAAAAAATTAAACAGACAAATTTTAAATTTAGCATCAGTTACAAACCAACTGTCATTGTCAATTGTTACATATTGATAATTACATACATTTGTACCAAAGATGTTAAAAACATTTCTAAAACTTATTTTGAGTGATTTTGCGTGCAGGTCATCAATGAACAGTTATGACAAAGTCAACAGTTTAACAACAATCCACTGTAATAATAACAAAAAGGTCATAATGTTGAATATGTAACACAGTGTATAAAAAAATAACAAAACATTTGCCCTGATAGAAGTTACGCAAACTTTTCAGGAAACAGCACTAAACAAAAAAACACATCTAGCACTGTCTGTTAGTGTCAATAGTAATTATAATCAAGTTATTCAAAATTTTAAAGTTTAAGAACTCGAGTCAATTGTTTAAAATTATGAACATCAAAATAGATATTTATTATTTTTATATTTTACATCATTGATACTAAAAATAAGTTTTATATGCTTAAAGTGGATTGGTCTACAATGGGCACATTTTGCAATTGATAGAAACAATAGAAAAGTACCATTTGAATATCTGTATACAGTTTTGAATATTTATAAGACGAAAAAATAATATTTTATTCTAAAAACAAATATTTTTCTGCTATATATAGATCATGTTTTCATTAACTTACAGAATAATCATATTGTATTAAAGACCTTAAATCAAAGAGCAATTCACTTTAAGCCTTTGTATTTGCTAAATGTTTTACAAAATGGTATTGTTTCACAAAAATCTAAAACCAGCTAGTTGATTTGACAAAAATTGAAAAAGAAATAAATAATAATAAAAAATAACATTCTTCAAGAACAATTGCATGTACTACAGTGTAACAGCAAATAAGGACTTGCCTCCATTATGAAAGTTAATTTGCATGTCATTTGCATGTCATTAACATATCATTTGCATATTATATGCACTCCTTACTGTATATTATAGTTTCTGCAAAAAAAGCAGAAGAGGTTTTTATAAAAAAATGCCATTTAAGAAACAAAGTAAATAAAATAAAAATGGACGGTTTATTGACTACAGCAGCTAGAAAAATCTTTATACACAAAGATAACTGGCTTGTAAATGAGAAATCTCTGCTAAATGGATGGAAGAAAAGGCAGCACTAATTTTTATTAAAAAATTAACAAGAAAACAATAATTAAATTTGCATTTCTGGTGTTGAATCTATTAAAATACATGCAAAAACAACACCCCTACCCCCCAAATAAAAAAAATAAAAAGACAAAAAACATGAAAAGAAACAATTTTTTCTTTGAACATTTGAGGTTTACTTACAGTCTCAGAAATTAATACATATTTAGAAATCATATGACCCATCTGATTCTGAGGAAGAAAACCCAACTTTTCTAAGTTATGCATTATAATATTACAGAGTAAACTAAATAAAAAATACAAGGGGCTATAACTCTGAAGATTTTATGAAACATTATCTAAAGAAACATTGTGTTTAAAGTAACTAACCCACAAACAAATGGTTTTGAATTTAGACAGATTAAAAGTGCAAGAATAAAAGTGCAAATCTTTGAAAAAGCTGGAACATCTATACTTTTTATGTACTTGTTTAACCTTGTCATATTTTTTCCAATTTGTCAAGACACTGTGTGTGGGCTAGTGGCTTAAAGTACAATGGTCAAAATTAGAATAACAAGAAAACAAATGAATCACAAACCATCCTACTGTACTATTATTTTGTACAACTTTTTTTAAAATTTCTTCTTCATTTAACTGAAGAATTTCAAATACCATGTTAAGACATGAAATAAAATACATCGCATATTAAACGACGTATGCAACATCTTAAATAAACAAGAGCACCTCATGGGATTTTAACGCTTGTCTGTTATAATGTAATCAATTTATAAAAGTATTTTAAATTAAAAAGGGACATAACTCTTAAAAATATTAGGTTTTTCAGGATAATAGCCCTTGTCTTACAACTGCAGCTTGTCCTGATAAGCAAGTATTTCAAGTTTCAATGTTTAAATAATCGGCTACATTTAAATTTTTGCAGGACTATGCAAACAACAAGAACGGCGCCACGATCATAATAGCTTGACTTTTTCTTTAAAAACAGATGAGCTAATAAATCATAATTAAATTATTGGTGTACATAAACCTTACATAAACACTTATATATTAATCATAAAGGGATTGCTGCAATTTTCAGGACTTAATCAATTACAACAATTATTTGTCACAGTCCTTTGCATGTTTCTAAATCTAGTTTTAATCAATTACAGTGTAATTGATTATGATTGAAATAAAGTTCAATACACTGTCATATCCTGTAGGTTTGAGAGGGTGATAAATGAACTAATTAATCAAGGGAGCTAACCCTTTATGCATATATTTTATCAGGAGAAATAACTGTTTTACGGGTATATCTTATTAGGGGTGCTTATAGTTTAATGAATAAATCTTTTAAGGGGAGATAACTGTTAAAAATAAAGGTTTAATCAGGGAAGCTTACTGTTGAATGTATATATTCTATAAGGGGAGCTAACTGTTTTATGAATATATCTTATCAAGGGAGCTTACTGTTTTATGAATATATGCTATCAGGGGAGTGAACTGTTTTATGAATATATCATATCAGGGGAGCTAACTGTTTTATGAAAATTACCTTACTGTTTTATTAATATACATGTATCTTATCTGGGGAGCTAACTGTTTTAAGAATATATCTTCTCACAAGAGCTCAACAGGAAAGCTAACTGTCTTATGAATATATGTCATCAGGGGGAGCTAACTGTTCACTGAAAAAACAAAAGAAGGGGGGGTAAAATTTTAAAATTTTTTATCTGTTGGTTTTTTCCATTTCCCTACTGGAAAAATGACGTAGGGCTTGAAACCCGGTGGGAAAATTTCAGGGGAAAATCAAATTTCCAAAATGGAAAAATGAAAATAACAATCAATTAAAAATTTTCAAAAATATTGAAAAATAGAAAGCTTATCTTTTATTAAATAATGAGACTTCTTTCTAGACCCCTAAGAAAACTAATTTTAAATTATTAAGTTATTCCTGCCATATACTTATCTCAATCGAGCTACAATTATCTCCCTTTATCCAATTTCACAGCTTACTTCTAGAGATATTAATATGATCTCCATCTGTTCCATTAAAACTTACTTCGTGAAACAGATTTTTTCCCTTCACTCAATGAAGTGAAAACTTTCCTCAATCTGAATTTTTTTCCTTTATCAATGAAAACCTAATTCTTGAAAAATATCACCTCCCTTTCCCAAATGAAAATTACCTTCCAGCAGGAAATTGTCTCCTTTTACTCAATGAAAACTTACAAGCAGAAAATTGTGTTCTCTTTACTCAACTGATTTATCCCAAGTAGGTGATTACCTCTTTTTATTCAATGAAACAGAAGATTATCTCCCTTTACTCAATTCAAATGTACTCTTGCAGATTATCTCCCTTCACTCAATGCAAATTTACTTCTTGCAAGAAGAGATTATCTCCCTTTACTCAATGAAAACTTTAATTCTTGTAAAAAAAGAAATTATCTCCCTTTACTCAATAAAAACTTACTTCCTTTAAAAAAGATTTATCATCTCCCTTTATTCAATGAAAACTTACTTCTTACAAAAAGATGCAAATTTATTTCTTGCAAAACGAGATTATCTCCCTTTATTCAATGTGAAATTATCTCCCTTTATTCAATGAAAACTTACTTTCTTTAAAAAAGATTTATAATCTCCCTTTATTCGATGAAAACTTACTTCTAGGGGGTGACTGTCTACCTTTACTGCTACCAGTCCTCGGAGTCTCCTGGTTAACGCCTATCGGAGGTAGAGGCTGACTCTGTGACATGACAACAGGTATATCTACGTCAGATAACCGCACTCGTTTTGCTGTAGATGCACTGTGATTGGTTGGTGAGGAAGATGGGCGGGTGGTCTGTCGTGATCCTGGTTTAATAAATAAATAAATGATCAGTTTGAAATGCATTTAAGAAACAATATATCCCAAATAGTGGTTTATGAATAAAGTGATTCTATGCAGCAATAAAATCACTGTTTTGAGTAAGGATGCGAAAAATTATAGCCAGAGTGATATAATGATGCCCATCTGAAACAACAAACAGTGGTTTATCAAGACATTTTATCAAGAAACTAGAGGATGCTTTTGTAAAAAAGCGCATGTCTCCCCCACTGCACTGTGGCTTGACCTTTGACCTACTGACCCCAAAAACAATAGGGATCATCTGCTCTATAAGACCAATCATCCTATGAAGTTTGAGGGCTGTAGGTCAAAAGGAACTCTAGTTATCATCCGGAAACGAGAAATTGACCAACGGTCACTGTGACCTTGACCTTTGACCTACTGACCCCAAAAACAATAGGGATCATCTGCTCTATAAGACCAATCATCCTATGAAGTTTGAGGGCTGTAGGTCAAAAGGAACTCTAGTTATCTTCCGGAAACGAGAAATTGACCAACGGTCACTGTGACCTTGACCTTTGAACTACTGACCCCAAAAACAATAGGGATCATCTGCTCAATAAGACCAATCATCCTATGAAGTTTGAGGTCTGTAGGTCTAAAGGAACTCTAGTTATCATCCGGAAACGAGAAATTGACCAACGGTCAGTGTGACCTTGACCTTTGACCTACTGACCCCAAAAACAATAGGGATCATCAGCTCTATATGACCAATCATCCTATAAAGTTTGAGGGCTGTAGGTCAAAAGGAACTCTAGTTATCATCCGGAAACGAGAAATTGACCAACGGTCACTGTGACCTTGACCTTTGACCTACTGACCCCAAAAACAATAGGGATCATCTGCTCTATAAGACCAATCATCCTATGAAGTTTGAGGGCTGTAGGTCAAAAGGAACTCTAGTTATCATCCGGAAACGAGAAATTGACCAACGGTCACTGTGACCTTGACCTTTGAACTACTGACCCCAAAAACAATAGGGATCATCAGCTCTATAAGACCAATCATCCTATGAAGTTTGAGGGTTGTAGGTCAAAAGGAACTCTAGTTATCATCCGGAAACGAGAAATTGACCAACGGTCACTGTGACCTTGACCTTTGAACTACTGACCCCAAAAACAATAGGGATCATCTGCTCAATAAGACCAATCATCCTATGAAGTTTGAGGGCTGTAGGTCTAAAGGAACTCTAGTTATCATCCGGAAACGAGAAATTGACCAATGGTCAGTGTGACCTTGACCTTTGACCTACTGACCCCAAAAACAATAGGGATCATCAGCTCTATAAGACCAATCATCCTATGAAGTTTGAGGGCTGTAGGTCAAAAGGAACTCTAGTTATCGTCCGGAAACGAAGAATGGACGGACGGACTGACGGACGGACGGACGGACTGACGGACAGGGCAAAAACAATATGTCTCCCCCCGAGGTGGGGGAGACATAATAAAATCACTGCTTGGGATATATTATTTCGATTCTCACATGACATCAACAAATAAATGCTGCCATACCTAATATCAAGCTAAATTACACATATTTGTTTCTGTTCTTATTTTCAAAGAGTCACATTTTTAATGGTAATGTCACATGTCTAAATATAGATCGTCAACAGTAATTTTATTGCATATTTACACACAATTTCGGTCCTTCTATGTTCAATAGTGAAAAATGAGGGTTGTGTTAGAATTTTAACTAATATATAGTTATAAATAGTAAAAAGAGCACCTCATGTAGTGTTAATGCTAGACTGTTAAAATAACCACTTTTGACAAAAAAAATCTATGTTAAAAAGGGGAATAACTCCAAAAATATAGTTTTCAGAATGCCCCTAGTCGTACAACTGCTTCTTATCATAAGCTAGTATTCTAAGTTTCATATTGACACCTTTAAAATTGTTTTAGTAATGGCCAACTTCAAAGCCTTTGCATAAAGCTATTTCAGGCACAAATTGGCACCTGGGTAGAACCAACCTTCCCTAAGCTAGCTGAATAGCTTCCTCACATGACAGAATCCAAAGTTGAGATTCGAACTCAAAGTAGTGAGATACAAGTAATTTGAAGTTGTGTGAATAATTTTGTACAAGTAAAATTGTTTTAAATATTTGAAAGAATAATATGTTTTTTTAGTTATTTGAGTTAAGTTTGGTTGTAGATACATGTAATTGCCCGAGTAAAAATTGTTTCATTTACCTGAGTGAGGGCGGTCTGCTTTACCAGCAGAGTTCGGTCCAGGTCGGTTCACTGTCATATATGCCCGGAGATTATTATTGGCGGCATTTACCAGTCTGTCATTACTCAATCCTTGAGATCCAATCTGAGCACTGTAAAATGACATGTTTTATAAATAATCTATAAATACCTTATTTTATTTATTAATAATCTATTATAAATAGCATATTGTATTAATAAGCTATAAATATACAATTTAGCTTATTTTATTGATTAATAATCTATAAGTAGCATATTGTATTGATAATCTATAAATAGCTTATTTTATTAAGAATCTGTAAATAGCTTTGAAATGCCTTTCTCTGATTGGTTAAGTAATAATGTGAAATAGGATTTTTTATAACAATTATGATCTATTAATGAATTGGTTAAGATGCAACTCTTTAGTAAAACAAAAGGTGCACATTAGAACATAATTATTCACTGGGTTTTTTTATTCTAAAAATAGAATTTGTGGAAGGACGAGAAGTCGTGTCTATTTCATTGTCATTAATCAGAAAAAGCTTTTAAGAAACAGGTAAAAATCAAAGATAAGAAAGATAAGAAAAAACATGTATTTTTCATGAGCCTTTTAACAAAATCATATTTATTTGCCTGCTAAAAATACCTGTATTTGTATAATTTTATAAAATTAGTTTTAAAGATATTTGACAAATTAAATGTCCAAGAATATATGGCTTTATAGTTATAACACTAGAGCTGCTTGAAAAAGGTTATATAGAAAACAACCATTTACACACAACAATATAACCTGTCAAATGTCTTTATAACGAATTTGTATTGTTGCACATTTTGCTTCCTTTCATTAAAAAAAGATTCATTGAAATTTATTTAAAACTTGGTGGTGTTGGTGGTGTTGGTAGTTTTCACTCCAGATCACGGCAGTAAGCCACATTGAATTCACCAGAGCAGAGTTCAGCCACCGCATCGTTCCTGCTATGGGCAGGCTGTCAAGCAGTTTACCAGTACTAGTTGCCTTCACTTTTGCAAGGAACTGAAACTTTTGTACATAACAGAGCAGAGGTACATTGCAAATGACCTTCTTAAGATTTCATGATCAATCGTAACAAAAAAAGTGACCTGCACCATCCGGAAATCGAACCCAGGTCGCCGGATTCACAGTCCAATGCTCTTATCTATTGAGCGAACGGGACAGCCATAGATTTTGGAAAACTTTCATCATATCAACAATTATATACATTGAGACTATCCAATGAGAATCAATGTAACAAACTTTTTCCAATGAGAATCAATGTAACAAAATTTCAGTATTTTAATTTTGCAAATCGACCAATGAAAACTCACCTTATTGTATTTTGACCAATCATCATTCTGTTGATGTCAAGCTCGAGGATTCTGGGAGTGTTCACATTTCCTAAATAAGGGTTGTTGATTCCTTGATGTGAATCGGCCATCTAAATAAATAATAAAAGCATTTTGATAAACTTAATTCCTTACAAATGATCATACAAATGTATTTCAAATTTTGAGACAAGCTAGTACGTAATAAGTTAAACACTGTATGAACTGAAAGGGACTCCACTGAGGTTTTATGACATGATTGGAGTAGAAATCATTTTTCGAGACTAATGTTCCATTTGATGTAGGTCTAGACCAACAACTTGTGTGCTAAGTTTAAGGTAATTAACTCCGTATCACCAGAATAATTTTTATAATTGTGAAATGAATTGACTAAAAATTGAAGGGTTGCAAATCGGTCTAAGAAAGGTCATTCATATTAGCCCATAAAGTACTAGCAGCAAACCAGATATTTCTGTACAACTTGTTGGCTTTGTTACTTTTTTTGTTTGTTTGTTATGGGTTTTACGTCACATCGACACAGTATAGGTCATATCGCGACATTCCAGCTTTACAGTGGTGGAGGAAGACCTCAGGTGCCCTTCCATGCATTATTTCAGGCACGAAAGAGTTGTATCTTAACCAGTCGTTAATAGATCATAATTGTAGTAAAAAATTATATTTCACATTATTACTCAAATAACATTAACCAATCAGAGAATGGCATTTCAAAGCTATTTATAGATTAGTAATAAAATGCTATTTATCGATTTTTGACTAATATGCTATTTATAGATTATTGATCAAATAAGCTATTTATAGATTATTTATGAAATATGTCATTTTACAGTGCACAGTCTATCCCTGCATAATCGTAAGAGGCGACTAAATCAGTTCTAATAACTGGAGTCTATGCATCTCTTAGTTCCAGCAGGTGAGGTGGTTTTGACCCCAGGTGTTGCTTTGAAATTTGTAACACCCAAGGTTAGCCGAAAACATCTTTCCTGTTTCATGGCCATTTGACCTATACTATGTTAATGCATCGTTAAACCAAACAAACATACAGAATTATGAATATATCTCTACTTTGTAATAAAAAGATCTGTTATAAAACAGCTTACACACCTTCCATGTAGAACCTGGTTGAGCTGCCATGTAGCCTACAGATGAACCCATCAGACCAGTACTGTCACCTTCTAGAGGCCCCCTGACCTCATATTGACCTTGACCCACATTCTGAAATGAGCAAAGGAATTATTCTCAAATATAATGTATTCACATAAAACAAAACTCAAAAATTTATTTTCTTGTTGTAGAAGTGGGCTCTTAGTAGAACTGCTAAATAAAAGAACATGAAGTCTCTAGCAGGATTAACCTCTGACCTAAGGGTGAGTAGCAAGTGGTACTTAGTAACTAACCATAACCACTGAGCCATGATGGCCTTAACAATTCAGTTCCCTTAACTATTTTACAACTCCTTTATAATGACTCTTAAATCAAAAACACACCTTGACAGAGCCTGAATTAGGCCTATTTGATTTACTTCCAGAAGTTGCTGTCGATCTTGGAACACAAGTTTTAGGTCTATTTCCTGAACATACTCTGTTTTTAGCATTTATTATTCCAGTTTTTGGTCTACTTTTTTCATTGTACTTGATTTCCCTTGTAAAAATATCACTTAGCCTTGATTCAGGTCTTTCATTAACACTGAGTCTTGAATTCGGCCTAGGACAGACACTTGCCTTTGAATCAGACCTAGGAAAAGCATTTATCACTGAATCAGGCCTAGGACAGGAACTGATCCTTGAATCAGGCCTTGAATTGTCATTTATAGATGATTTTTCTATACTTTCACACAGTTTACTTTCTAACCACATATTATCAGTTTGTGACATAGACTCATAAACATCAGACTGTCTTTTATCACACTGACTGTATAGCACTTGAGTATGTTCTGAAACTGTTGAACCAGTCAAACTTTTCTCATTTTGTTGGAAACCAGTCCAGTTTTCTTCAGGTCCACTGACACTATCAGATATTCTTGAACCAGTCATGTCATTTTCACTTAACCTAGATTCTGACCTCAATGATTCTACTGTTTTAGAGTTTTGTATGTCAGAAAGGCCTGATTTTGGCCTTGTTTTGTATGTGTGTGTAGATTTTGGCCTAGGTTTATAACTAAGCCTAGATTTTGGCCTTTCGGCTATTTCTAGCTCAAATCCCAAAACTGTATCTAGGCCCACTACAATCATTTTGAATCTGTTGTTCTTTCAGTCCTTGAATTTATGATGTTTTAGAAGATCATACAAAATGCACTTTTCAATGATTTAACAACCTTATTATATGTTTAAAGTAACGAAAATTACATATATTTCATTATTTATTGTTTTTCAATTTTACTGATATTCCATTATCAAATGTTTATCAATTATATTCCATTTTCTAGTTTTTATCTATTTTAATGATATTCCATTTTCTCGATTTATCAATTTTACTTTTCCAGTTTTATCAATTTTACTGATATTCCATTTTCTTGTTTTTATCAATTTTACTGATATTCCATTTTCTTGTTTTTACCAATTTTACTGATATTCCATTTTCCAGTTTACTGATATTCCATTATCTACTGTTTACCGACATTCAATTATTTAGTGAAGTGTATATCCATAAAAAATTCTTCATTTGCATCATACTTTTTTCTAAATTTCAACCATTTTACTGCCTTTTTTTTATTACAAAAAATTTATTATCACAGGGTTTATTTAGTGACTGTTCAGCAACAAACTAAAACTCTGAGTAAAATCTGTTTTAACGCATTTAGTTTAAGACCGTCTGCAATTTTAATCCAAATAAAATCCTTGTACAAATTAGTCCTTTTATATATGCCCCATGCTATCTAATGCTATCTATCTATCAACATTTATAAAAATCCAAACAAATAAAGTTTTTATTCCACATCTTAATATTTATTCAGTATATGTACACATGTCCATTAATTTCACTAATATTTCAGGTCGTGTAACCAAACTAGGCTATTCTAACCAAGAGACCAAGCGACCTCGGCCTCGGATTAAATGTATTCAGTATATTCGGTGCTATTTAATTTCAATTATGTCACTAATGCATTGAATTCAATGCTGATATTAAATATTGAAAATCTTCTCCGCGCGTAATAATCCTTCGACCTGCAAGATCCAACGAGCAATTTGATATACACTTAAACCCCCGTACTGTATTTAAACACCTCTTTACAGATTATAGAATTCCAATTAGAAACCATAAATAATCTTCTTCCCAAAAGTAAATAAATCTAGAATATGATATGAATAGCTGATACAAAAACCACTTTCAATTCTTAAATATCTAATATATTCAGCCCAGGACGGGACAAACAATACAGCGTACAAGCAATTATAGAACCAACTATAAAACATTTTATAGAAACCATTGACTTGTCTGACTGTCGACAGCACTCAACAAAAGATTCTTTGACAGTAATTTTATCATATTATACATTCACAATCAATCATTTACAACAGTAGAATTCAATTTTCTATGTTTGCCATACACATTAATTATATATTGGAAAATCAATTACATAATTGCTCAATAAACATTGTAAAGATAGAAAAACAGACTGATAGAAAAACAAATAGACAGATGAAAGGGATACTCTGGCAAATTAATGACAAAATATTAAACTCAAACCACACTAAAATGACATTTCCCAGCATGAATTTTTGTATAAATTATATAATATTTTGGGTTTGAAGCATAAATATATCTATATATGTTGAACAAAATTTAGACACCGACAGAATCACTGAGTAGTTTTAAAACAAGTCATGTGACTTGAGCAAACCCTGGCAGTTACAATAACAGATATCCTGGATATTAATTGTATGATTGAAACAAGTCTTAGTCATTCATTTGACATGTTCCTTAACGTTTCCAGAGTTCAATGTGACAACTTTTGCGAAATCTTAATGCTCAAACCTGACCCACATGTGTCAAATGAGGAAACCACCTGATCTTATTCTTAAATATAAGGAGAAACATTTTGTTCCTGTGACTGCCTAGCATATTCATTTTGATGATATTAACATTATGATGAATGAAAAATTCAAAACGAAGACATGAAAATTTTGCCTGTGTTTCTCTTTAAATGACTGGTCTAAATAATATTCAATTGAAAACTAAGAAACATTTTTTAAAAATTTACTTTGATAAATCTTACACTGAAATTCCTGTCTCTATAGATTTCCTGCTTTTTGACCACACTTGAGCTACTTTAATATCAATCTGTGTTTCGGCTAATTATAAACCTGTGATCTGGTTTAAAGGTTCTGCTAAATTTCAACTTGTACACCAGTTTAAAGATTCTGCTAAATTTCAAGATGTGTTCAGGTTTAAAAATTCTGCTAAATATCAACCTGTACACCAGTTTAAAGATATTGCTTAACATCAAGACATGTTCAGATTTAAAAATTCTGCTAAATAAAAGCTGTGTTGAGATTTAAAGATTCTGCTAAATATCAAAATGTGTTCAGGTTTAAAGATTCTGCTAAATATCACAATATGTTCAGGTTTAAAGATTCAGTTACCAGTAAATATAAACCTGTGTAATTTAAGATTTCAAAATGCAGCCAAATAGTATCAATCTGTGTTTAGATTTTAAGACTCAGGTATACATCAATTTGTGTTCAGGTATAAAAGATTTTGCTAAAATTCATAATGTTTTGTTCAAGTTTAAAAAGACTCAAATTCAAATACCATTTCTAAAAACTAATCTTTGTTGAAGTTAGAACATTCTTTGAAACATGAAGCTGGTCACGTAGTCACGTAAACTTTAGCAATTTTAAGGTCACATGGACTTTAACACACATTGCCTTCCACACCATGAGTGCAATAACATAAACCTGATAGACTACTGTATTTTAATCAAATATCAAAGGATGGGTCACAACTTTGGTAATAAAATCTGGAAAATGTTGATTCCATCACAACAAAAGTACATGTATATGAAAATTGCTAACTCAGGGTTTGATTTAGTCTGTACATGAGGGATAATGAAAAATTTCATCATCCCTAATGGCCCCTAGCACCCGCCAAAGTAGAGTTTCAAACCTATAATCTCTGCATTTAGAGGCAGACACATCTTACCATGCACTGCCCAATAAATTTAAGTTTTGAACATGTCTGTAGAAATTCCTGTAGACAGATGACTGATGACCTAGTTTCTTGGCAGGTAAAAATCTCATAGGTCAATAATAATTACATTCTGACATTTGATAACATTTAACATTTTCAGTGGACTTAAGTACTAATGAAACTGTCAGAAGCTTAATAAAGCCCTGTCATCCTCTAAAGCATTCCTATCATAAAATGATCCCTCACTGAGTTAAGGCTACTTTTGTAACTGCTACCTGTGGCATATGAAATTCACTACTACCAGTAATATAGGCTTTTCAATATGTAACCTTTGACAAAAGCAATTCACTACTACCTGTTACATAGACTTCTACATGTGACATAGGTAATTCACTACTACCTGTATCACAGACAGTTCACCACTATCTGTGACAAGGGAATTCACCACTATCTGTGACAAAAGGCAATTCACTACTTTATGTGAACAAGCAATTATCATAGTATTGCAAGCAATCCATAAGTCCCCTACCGGTAAGAGCCCAAGCAAAATTCTGAAGGACCATTGGCCATTCACTTAGGTTCCTATTTTAAGTAAATTTGTTGAAAAAGTTCTTTAAAAGTGATCACAGGAAACAGTTTTTATGTACAGACAGACGGACTGAAGGACACTCTAAAGTTATTTTTTAAACATCCCTGTTATCAAAATATAACATTTTTAAAATCCTATCATGATTGAAGAAGTTGGAGTAAAAATTACCAATTTCTCAAAAAAAAGTCTAAGTTCAAAAGGGGCATAATTCTGGAAATAGTCTTGCTAGAGTATTGAACACTCACAAATGTTGAGTGATAATAAGAAACATTTATATGAAGTTTGAAGTAGATACATTCAGAAAAAGAAGTTATTAAAAAAAACAATGTTTTTTTCATGAAAATTTTAAGTTCAAGGGAGGTAATTCTGATAAATTTTGTGCTAGAGTTGTAAACCTTGTCACATATGATGTGGTTGATGACAAGCAACTTATATTTAAAGTTTGAAGAAAATACCTTAAGAAATAAAGAACTTATAGTGAAAAAACTTAAAAACT